CACCTTCTCTGCCCATCTACTCTCCTTCATATTTCTTAGCCTTTCTTCGAACCTTATTTTGCTCTGCGCTTCCCTCGCCTCAAAACCTGCCCACCCCATATCGCCCTTTACAGCCTCGTTTGTCGTCTTCCCGTGAGCACCCAACGCGAGGCGTCCCACAGTCCTTTGATTTACATCCATTCCCGACTGCACCTCTGCCCTCATGCACACCACTGAGTTCCCAAAAGTAAGCCCTGGAACCATTACACCCTTCCACAGACCTCGAAGCACCTCATACCTATTGTATCCCCACAACGCTCTGTGCTTCATTATTGCCGCATTCCTCTTTCCTTTTGCTGCCGAGGGTTTTTCCTGTACCTCCATGTATCTATCACTCTCATTTACCCATACTCCAAGGTACTTGTATTCACTTACCCTCGGTATTTCTTGGCCTTGTATATACACCGTCTGATCACAGGGATCATTGAATACCATCAATCCACACTTCGTTACACTGAATCCTAGTCCAAGAGCTTCACCTTCCCTTCCGCATATATTCGCCAGCTGCTGTATATCATCTCGACTGTCCGCAAATAAGACGATATCGTCCGCATAAAATATACCTGGAAGCTTCTGCTCAATCATCATGCCGCCCTGTTTGTGTGACAGATTAAAACCAATGTTGCTACCTTCTAGCGCTTTTTCCATACTCACCATATACAGCATGAATAACAGCGGGGACAAAGGACATCCCTGTCTCAGACCCTTGCTAACCTCAACGTTCTCTTTGCTACGCATTCCTTCCCACTCTATGCAAACTGTATTTTCTCGGTATATCTCCCTCAAAAGCTGTATACAGTCGTCGCCCATGCCCATTCCTTTCAATATATCCCACAAAATTTCCTGATTAACGTTGTCGTATGCCCCAGTGATGTCTAGAAAAGCCACGTACAAGGGCCTATTCTCTATTTTAGATAATTCTATACACTGAGTGAGAACAAACAGGTTATCGTCTAACCGCCTGTCGACTCGAAATCCGTTCTGAAGTTCTCCCAAAATATCGTTATGTTCGGCCCATGTTTCTATTTTCATTTTTACTGCTTGCATCGCCAACCTGTATAGTACCGATGTAATGGTTAGTGGTCTATACGAGCGAATCTTGTCCTTTTCTCCCTTGCCTTTATAGATTAAGTTCATTCTACTTTGTCGCCAACTGTCCGGTATTTGTCCGTCCTTTAAGCTTTTTTCTACTGCTTTTAACAATGCTTCTTTAGTGTTATGTCCTAGTTCGTTAATGAGGCTAACGGGAATCTCATCTAAACCCGCGGCAGTGCGCTTTGGAATTTTTCCTTCGGCCTTTTTCCAGTTGAAATTATCAAGTACTAGCTCTTCCTCTGTTGCTTTCTCCGCCACACTTTTACTCACCGGGGAGATCCCCTGGACGCTCTTTCGAAACGAATCGGCTGTTACCTTTTGGATGTAACCTAGCGCTTCGTACCCTTCCAATTGATTTCCTCCTTCATCTAGAATATGTTGTTGCGTTGTGACAGACTTCCTACCTAGCGCCTTTATGTGGCTCGAAAAAATCCTAGGCGCGGCCTCCTTTTTTTCGTGTATCTCTGTCATCCAGCGTTCACTTTCACCTTTAATTTTTGCCTCTACCAATTTCTGTACAAGGGATTTTTTCTCTAAATATATTTCCCATATTTTTTTGACTTCGTCCTGCGGCCGCTTCTCCTTTTTTGCCTTTCTATGCTCCCGTGATGCTTCGCGTCGCTTCTCGATCGCCTCCCGGATTTCCTTGTTCCACCAACTTTTTGGCTTCCTTTTTCCTTTCCAGCAAACAGTTTTCTTCTCTTTCCCTATCTCCTTCGTCATTAGATGTAACAGCTCACTATACTCCCAGTCCTTGCCTGGTATTTCGCCTACTTCTTCCTCGACTCTTGCGGCTATATTTATTATTTGTTTGTCATTTAAATACGAGCTGCCAGACTTTGATTCCATGCTCATATTTTCAGTTTCGTATCCCATTTGTAATGTTATTCGTTTATGATCACTACCCAAGCTGTTAATGCCTTCCTCGTCTATCCTCATTTCTGTCAGTTTGTGGTAAATTCCTTCAGTCATGAGACAATAATCAATACTTGATTGCTTGTTTCCGACTTCCCATGTGATCTGGCCGTCACATTTAGGCCCCGTGTTAACTATCTCCAGACTATGTTGCTCGCAAAGATCTAGTAATAACTTCCCATTGGTGTCTGAATATCCGTCAAGGTCATGTATGTGGGCATTCATGTCCCCTAGAAGGATGATTTCGGCCCCATTACCAAATTCCTTAATATCCGCACTCATGCAATCCACTATCTCCTGATTCTTTTCTCTGCAGTTATTCCCCGTCCACAAGTAGGCTACCCCTAGCCACGTTTCCTTTCCACCTACTGTGTCCAGAACCCAGAGGTGCTCTGAACACGTCTGTTTCACTCTCACCCATTTGGCTCCGCGATGAATTAGCATTCCTACACCCCCACCTTTCCTTTCCGATATGGTCCTGTTACACCCTTCCCAAACATAATTTTCAATATGTGGTGGCTCTTCCAAGTCTCTAATGTGTGTTTCTGTAACCGCATACACGCCTATCTGTTCTTTGTTTAACTGCTCCTCAATATCTAACCATTTTGCCTTCTTTCTGCCACCCTGCATGTTTATGTAACTAATTGCAACACGCGCCTTTTTCCTTTTTCTTTTACCTTTTTTCTGGTTTTTCGCAATTCTACCTGTCAAAGCGTCCTCCTGGTTGTTTTCCCTGTTACGAGCTACCCCGGACTCCGAAGGGCCCGTGAGCCCCCCAAAAAAGCTACTGCGCGTCCTGCCAGTCGCCAGCACACCTCGTGTCCAAGCCTCTTATCGAAATGAATCTTGTCTCTTTGGAATCCACCCCACCTGTGCACTTCCCTGTTTAAATCCACTACCTCGAAACCCTTCTCTCGACTAATTCGCCATATCTCTTTGTTTGCGTCGACAACCGCTCTTTGCAGGTTGACGTTGCGTACTGGTACTTCCGGTACTGTGCATACTACAATTTGCACCTGGGGGGACACGGCGCGCATGTCATCCACCCCTTTCGCCAAGGTCGTCGCTAGTCCTGACGATTCTTTTTTCAGGACGTCATTTAGCCCTCCCGCAATTACAACGAGGTTACGATTGTTAGCTTTAGCTGCGAGTTGTTCACCCGCTTGACTCATTACTGTCCCCAGCGTTTGTCCTGGGAACGTCCCTATCGCAACTCTCTTGTCGCCTTTCACCCTTTCTTTGATTGCCGCTGCGCATCGGACTAAATTTGAGTCACCGGCGATGATGACCTGTTCAGACATTCCTTCTGAAACCTGCACCTGGCTGCTGACTAGGTGACTAGCGTGAGTCACGGCTGCTGGTTTGCTCCCTCCCTCCCTCAAAACTACTTCCCGGTAGCTGGGCCCTGTGGCCAATGTATCTGCCTTTGTCATGCCTGTTTCCTTCATCTCTCCCACGTTAGACACGTTAGACACGAGCGCCATCTGGCAGTTGTTTTGGGAAACGAAGGAAGGCGTGCGCTCCCGCGGAGAAAGATGCGCGCATGTCCCGGAGACGATAAGCTTTAGAACCCAAAGCGACGGGCAGGTGCCACCACCGTGTCGTCTTAGAAAAGCGCTGGAAACATTTGCCTTTTTTAAGCATCGCATCGCACTGTCAGTGCAGCGTGATAAATGCTATGGTCCTGATAATTACTTGTGTGTGCCTTATCTAGTATTAGAACACACATACAAAACATCGACGTGTTGTTGTGGTCTCATAAGCGCAATAATTGTTTTTTAATTGACCATTGCACAATTACGAACGCTGAATCTTGAACAATATAGGTGGGTGCTGCAGACGGGGTTGGCCATTTGAGGTTTTGTATGGTGCCATTTGGGGTATCGTTGCCACAGACAGACAGACAGACAGACAGACAGACAGACAGACAGACAGACAGACAGACAGGCCAAAAGTTTGGCGACGAAGGTCCCCAAGAAAGACTATTGGTTTTAACAACAACGCTGTGCGAAATCAATGGGCAGGGGGGCAGAGCGAGCGTTTTTTGTAGCGGTTTTGTTCACGGCCTTGCTGCCTCCACCAAGACAAGACCTCGTCGAAACGTTGCAAATATACCTAGTTTAAGGGTTTATCGTTTGTGTTGAATAATTTACTTATACTTTCTCTGAGGATTTTCATCACAAATAGTTCTGCCACAAGACAAGAGCGCATAATTATGCATACCATCAAAGATTTAGGGCATGATCATACTGAACGCGTTCCGGGCAAATGGAGAGGCGGATCCGTGAAAGCGGGCAAGTAGTATCCGCGAAAGTGAAAGGCCCACTTGTCTGGGTCGCACCCGGACTACCTGTTTTGTATGTACACTAACCAAATAGATAGATGGACGCGAAACTTTATTTAGGTCCTGAGGGGCACGACTCAACACGCAGCGGGCCGCTCCCACGTTGGGCAGTCAGGCCAAGCCCTACCACAACATCGTGGGCCCTCTTGAAAGTCCACAAACCAAATGAATAAAATTTTATGGGCCGCAGTCAATCAGGGCCTGAATCTAGTTCAGCGTCATAGTGCTTCAAAATGGCGGCACATACACCATGCATTTGTAGGTTACTCTGTCCGAGGCGAAGCAGGCTAAAGGAAAACCGGGTTGATCTGAACAGCTGCTCAGGCTGGCAGCCTTTCCCCTTCGTGAGTCCATTTGCCCGCAAGCGTATTCCGCGTTCATTCTTGAAAAGCGCAAAAGAAACAGGGACAACGAAGAAACAGGCGCTTCGCCCATGTTTCTTTTTGCAACTACAGTTACCCACTCCAGTTACCAACTACAGTTACCAACTACAGTTACCAACTACAGTTACCAACTACAGGCCAAATAGCTGAACTGCTCAAAGTTCGGTGTGAACGAGTCTTCAGTAAATTAATACATGACAGTTCCGCCTGACACGAAGGCTCACCCTTAGGACTTCCAACAGCATTCCGTTTCCTGCGATGGACAGTCGGTTATGCTGGACGTAGAGGTGTTTCAGGCGCTTGTCGGTGTGCAGCTCCGACGCGGCTTCTGACGCGAACGCATCTCTCAGCTCACAGGCGGTGAAGGTGAGATGACGTAGTACACCTGAACAACGTGAGAGATTCAGCATAAGAAACTTTAGCCAGGTACATGCGTCTGTGAGCAGTGGGGGACTTGAGCTAGTCGAGAATTCCGGGTGGTAATACAGACCAAAAATGAGGGTACTAAAATTATTGTCATAAAGATGGCTACTGGCACCATCACTATTGAGTGAAATCTATTTATGTATGCTGTAATTTGAATACTTCTTACATTTCTATGCTGAATGAGCAAGGGGCAGTTAAGTTGGCGAATATTGTTTAACAGCAGAGACAGGCTGCATGTTTACTTGTGAGGATTTCAGGACAGTTTGGCCAGATCCTCGTCGTGCGGATTGATGAATTTGGTAGTTATTGTTGTGAATGCGAAGCATTTCTTAGCAAACTTCGTCGACTTAGAGCGTAGGCGTTCGTCCGTCTGTCCGTCCGTCTGTCCGTCCGTCTCTCTGCGTCTCTCTCTCTCTGCGTCTCTCTCTCTCTCCGTCTCTCTCTCTCCGTCTCTCTCTCTCCGTCTCTCTCTCTCCGTCTCTCTCTCTCCGTCTCTCTCTCTCCGGTCTCTCTCTCTCTCTCTCTCTCCGCGTCTCTCTCTCTCTCCGCGTCTCTCTCTCTCTCCGCGTCTCTCTCTCTCTCCGCGTCTCTCTCTCTCTCCGCGTCTCTCTCTCTCCGCGTCTCTCTCTCTCTCCGCGTCTCTCTCTCTCTCCGCGTCTCTCTCTCTCTCCGCGTCTCTCTCTCTCCGCGTCTCTCTCTCTCCGTCTCTCTCTCTCCGTCTCTCTCTCTCCGTCTCTCTCTCTCTCCGTCTCTCTCTCTCTCGTCTCTCTCTCTCTCCGTCTCTCTCTCTCCGTCTCTCTCTCTCTCCGTCTCTCTCTCTCTCCGTCTCTCTCTCTCTCCGTCTCTCTCTCTCTCCGTCTCTCTCTCTCTCCGTCTCTCTCTCTCCGTCTCTCTCTCTCTCTCCGTCTCTCTCTCTCTCTCCGTCTCTCTCTCTCTCCGTCTCTCTGTGTCTGTCTCTCTCCGTCTCTCTCTCTCTCCGTCTCTCTCCGTCTGTCTCTCTCCGTCTGTCTCTCTGTGTCTGTCTCTCTGTGTCTGTCTCTCTGTGTCTGTCTCTCTGTGTCTGTCTCTCTGTGTTTGTCTCTCTGTGTCTGTCTCTCTGCCTCTCTCTGCCTCTCTATCTCTCTGTCTGTCTGACTCTCTCTCTCTCTGTCTCTCTCTCTCTCTCTCTGCCTGTCTCTCTCTCTGTCTGACCCTCTCTCTCTCTCTCTCTGTCTCTCTCTCTCTCTGTCTCTCTCTCTCTCTGTCTCTCTCTCTCTCTGTCTCTCTCTCTCTCTTTAACCACCTCGAGTTCATGGTATATACTAGTTCACTGTATTCGTGGCAGTGTGGCCCAACGCTCGATAAACCTTTCTAAAACCAAGGATGTTATGCCCAGCGAGTATAACGTAGCAACCTTTTCCTGTCAGATAGTGCTCAATGTACATGACAATGGCTGCTAATGGGAAATGAGAGACAGGAGAATTTGGCTTTTACTTCCTTACAACTTGCGCTCCGTATCTACTTCCCACCTTAAACCACCTAGAGTTCATGCTATATACTAGTTCATTGTATTTATGGCACTGCGGCTCAACGCTCGCTAAACCTTTCTAAAACTAAGGAGGTTACACCCAGCTAGAATAACGCAGCAACCCTTTCTTGTCAGATGGTGCTCAATGTACATGCCAATGGCTGCTAATGGAGAATGAGAGACAGGAGCATTCGGCTTTTAGTTAACGCGCACGCCGCGAAGTTTTTATTGTTCAACAAAGCACAGGAGAAATCTCCCACCAGCACCACTTTGCAGGTCAAAATGTAACACTTGTTACACACTACGACTACGACTACAAGGGACGAACGCGTGCCGCATTCAGGAGCTTCGCCCCTAAAATTGCAACACGGTCACGTTCGCCAGAGCTTGGTGTAGGTGACGGAGTGCAGGGCCTAAGGAACGGAGCTTTGTGCTAACCTTCATGTCCTCGGGTAAAAAGCTGTGTGAAGATTAGCTAGCGAAATTCAGGACTGCTAAACAGACACCGGCAAATATGCGTGTGAAGACTGTGCTACTGCGAGAAACATGTGCACTTCTGTGGCCAACGGGGCTGCGATGTTTGGCAAATAGCATGAAAGCGCGCACTGAGACGCCATGCCGGGTGTCTGTTAACTGTGTTGAACATTGCTTGCAAAGAGTTTATTTTATTTTTTGTGAAAAATTGTGGTTCATATATATTGTTCTTAATTTTACTAGATAACATGTCCAGCCATGTTTCTTCATTTCATGGCGTCTTGCTTAATAAAAATGTCGCTACATGGTCACGTTCCCTCCGCATGCTTCGCATAACGTCGATTCCCAGGTACGTGGGATCTTTCTGATAAGCAAGCTTCCGTTGCACTTTGCACTTGATGAAGCATCGAACGCCGCATCCACACATTGGGTTTTGGAGGGTAGCAAAGGACTGACGCGCTAGTACCACTGGATGTCGTCGTTTAGTTAGTGTTGTAAAACTGACGATTCGTAAAAATGTGGTGACGGAACGACGGGAGCACTGGTAGTTAATGCTAGTGAGCGTTCAAACCAGTTCAAATGGCTAACTGGCATGGCACCTTGGGGGAATTATTCGTGGCTCATCACGCGTCGATGATCACGGGGCGCAGTTTTCATACATGATTCACCATTGAGTTATGTCGGTTTTGTAATTAAAAGGCGCAAAAAGTGTTTTGATAGGCGCAAGAGGTCTCACCTAGTGCCAGCTGTGGGCAACACGAACGTGTAGCTAACTCTTAAACCCACGGACAAAATGAATAAGTCCACACGCCACAGCGAAGCTCCGACAAAGAACTGAAGATGCGCACAAAGACGCAAGGGAAAAAGACATGTAAACTTATCTGATCATGCTCATGCATTATGCAAAACCTGTTCACTCAGAACGCGTAGAGATTTACGTGAAAAATCTAAAGGCATTTCTCGCGTGAACCTCCACGTACCGGTGTGATATTTTCGCCTATTGCGTTATTAGATAAGCTTTCATGCCTTCTTTGCTTTGCATCTTTGTGTGCAACGTCATATTTTAGTCAGCGTTTGTAGCGTCTGGACTTATGTGCGTCCATGTTCACACTTCTGTACTTTACAAATCATGCTTACGAACAAGCACAGCTCTCTCTTCATCAAAGATGTAGTCTCAAGTTTCCGACTGGTCGATGGCTGTTTCGATGCGACTGATGTGCTTGTCTTTTCTACTGAAAAAAAAAACTGGCGTTCATAGGTCGGGCGCTTCAGTTGCGTGGACACATTGCTTACGCTGCTCTGTACGTGAAACCTGCTGTGTGGTCGTGAGGAGGTTTAGGGGACTCGCTGAGGGGCCAATTATCGCAAGTGTTATCGAGAGCTCTACGCCAATGGATATTTGCTTCGATGATATTCACGGGAAACTTACATGTACAGTGTTGGCTTTATGATAACGCGCCGAGAGGCATTATTACCCACAAACGTCCATCCTTCGCTTTCATTTGCTTTAATGCTCGGGGGCAGTGGGGGGGGGGGGGGGGTTTGAGGCAGTCCGAAAAGCCGTTCTGGTTCCCCAAGCCCAGACCTTTAGGGAATCCCAAGCTGTAAAGAAACGAAACCGCAAACGCAAAAGACCGAGCTAGAAAACAGAAGCCCACGGCAAGTGGCAAATTTGACCATCGCGAGCTCCATTGTCACCAAGGCCTAAACTAAATGCAGCGCTCCTTTCTGTCCTAATTTTTTCGCTTCCACAGTTGCGAAGTAACTACTTCTAGGTTGCGCTGTCCCTACATTTAGTTATGTCCAACCAACTTGCCTAAGTTTCCACGCTTCATCGCCAAGGCAACCGCAATATGTCACTGTATACTTGGCCGCGCGCATATGTGGTCACTCTGAACGTAAGCCTTGCGTTCGAAAACAAAAGATGCAGAAGGTCAGGACGCAGGCTGATGATTGCATGTGTCTTCTGGATCGTTTAACATGTCTCCCCTCTGCTTTTTATTCACCAAGGTAACTTTCGCAAAGCTCTCCTGAATGAAAGAAAAGAGGAGGAATTTCGATTGAGCAGAGAACTGTTATTTCACTCGTACTTCACAGAATAAAGTACCTGCCGGCAGTCGACTTGAGAGCCAATAAACTCCTGTAACGAAACCTTTAGGTTATTACTCGCGATGAAGAATTTTTCAAAGTAATAATTTAGTGTTAATTGTGCGTTTTCTCACTACCGTTTTCGACAGTGTGGCCCGCTTAAGCACGAAACGCTTACCTCCAATAAGAGAAGCATACGCCTTTTGCAGTTGCGGATCTTTGCACTTGCAGCGGATGAAGGTGAGCTGCTGCAGGCCTCCAGTCGGCGATTCCGGTGGTGGCTTCTCCCCTTCGGGTGGCGTGGGAGGCGCAGGCCGACTGAGGGCGTCGGCCATGTACCTGATGTCGGCGACCTCGATGTTACACTCGCTGAGAGAGAGCGATTTGAGGCTTGGACTTCGCACGGAGGCTCTCATTATTACAGATGGGTTAACGTCATTCCTGGCTATGATCTGTAGAAGAAAGAGTAAGCAAGGTACATTGGCACAATTTCTGATCTCGCAATGCACATGCATCTGCTAGAGCAAGAAAAAATAAAATATGCAGTTAGTGAATGAGAGTCAAGAGGGGGTCGAATACCGGAAAAGAAAAAAATCGCGTTTTTTTTTCTTTGCGAAGCCCGACTATAGTCCCCTACATGAAAGACTCGTCAACTCTAGGAGATCATGCTCTCAAAAGTAACTGGGGAAACCGCAAGATGATAAGTATTATTTTACGAGCGAACACCACATCAAGAGACTTTCATCGTATTCTCATCCTTTAAAACCCGTTTTACAGTATTCCGCATAGCCAAACAAGAAACTTGCATGCCTGGGCACTTCCGTCGTGATATAATACATTTGGTTCAGCAGGGCACCACGCAACGAGGCCTAAACAGCACGCGTGAACTCAACAAAAATTGAGAATAGTCTTCAGTTGAATTTCAACTCAACTGAATAGAAACAATCAAAAGGCATTCGATGGACAGAGAAGGCCATCTTTCTTTGCATCCGTTATATTTAGAGTAGGGCAAGCTCTACAGTGAAAACGTCAGAGACGCGCGCACAAATGGTACTAATAGCATCGTACGAGTGGTTATATTTTGATGGGGCATGGTGGCAAGTAATGCCGGACTCACACAGACGGTGTCGTGCTTCACTGATACCAAAGCTGCAGTGGCATTGAAAAGGGTGCACACCCCTCGAATAAGTAAAGAAAAAAACGTATAACGAATGCGCGAGAACGAAAGAAAGTTGAGGGTAGGAGTGAATAAGTTCATTTACCGTTGAAACTTTTGATACCCTGTCAACGAAAACATTTAGTTCAATAGCAGAATTCCTGTGTGCTTTTGTCAAGCAGCTCGGTGAGCGTTTTTAAGCTTTCGTGTTTTTTGCACTATGGCTCGTATATACGTCGGGGTATGGGCCATGATACAGGCGGTTATTATAGAGATAAAGAATGGACTCGAGAAGCAGAAAGAACTCAGCTGACTAGAAAATTTCAATTTTTTTTCATGCGGTTACTTAATATACCAATAAAATATAGATAAATGCAGTGTTATGCAACCGGCAAATCAGATGAATGTTGAATTACAGAATTTTGAGTGGAACTACCCTATAAAAAGTTTGAGCAAGCGTTATTCTTGCATGAATGAATAAACTTAATTTAAAGTCTTGCACTTTTCACTAGGCGCGGCGGGGGAAGAGGGGATAAAACCCTGTCCCTTCCCCTCTCCGTAGATTATGATGGTGGTGCTTCAGCTGACCGCTCGAAGATCTTGAACCTGGGTGGAATATTCAGCTTGCAGGACGGCCCGAAACTGGTCGGCCAGCTCGTCACTTGTGAGTGCCGCCTTCCAGCGGCAGCGCAGTGGACGCCGCCGATCAGCAACAGTGACCGCAGCCGCGGAGGAGGCCGGCCCCTGCCCTCGCGCGGTGGTAGCAGCAGCGATTGGCCTCGTAGTTCGTCCCTGTTTAACATGCGTCGCGAAGTGAGCGGCGGCAGTGACGTTAACTTTTCCAACCCACTCACAAAGCATGCGCCGCAGTGTGGCCCTTTTTCCGAACGTTTTACACGGGTCCGTCGGGTATAGGTGAGGATAGCACAGGCGTAGGATCGCCGGGCTGGGGTACGTATTTGCCTCAAATAACCTCAAAGGTATGGCCTGTCTTTTGTTCAATTTGTTGTGTGATGGCGGTTATTTGCGTGTGTTTAGTCTGTAATGTTGTGTAATGTCGTTGAACGGGGTCAGGCGATCCCCCCACAACTATTCCAGTTGTTTGGATAGTGCCATCGCCCCGCTCTCGGAGGTGAAGGCGGCCACCAAATTGGCCACGGCTCGGTGAGTGAGATCTCGAGCTGCGCTGTGGGCCGCCTGGTTACCTGCGAGTGGGACGCTGGTGTGAGCTGTGGTCCAAAGAAGGAAGACATTCGCATTTTCAGTTTTGAGATACCAGGACGACAACGCCGAGGCCATCGCTCCTCGAAGCTCGCCGCCGTCCTTGTTGCCATTACTTCATTGTAGTATCCGGGCCGCCAGACACGAGATGCCACCGCACGCGAAGCCACGGACAGCACCTTGGGAGTCGCTGATCTCGACCTCAGCCACCGGTGCTGCGACCAGTGCATGAGCGATCGCTGCCTGTTCGGCTGCCTCTGTGTGTTCCGTACGCACCGTGGCACTCGAGAGGCATTTGGCTCTGCGATTCACAACGGCGGTAACGTGAGCACGCCTTCCCTCTGGGTAGCGCGCGGCGTCCACGTGCACCGCTTTGTCGCTGTTGCCATACATTCTTTGGAGGTCACTCGCTCTTTCGTTGCGGCGCCTGACGTGGTGTGTCGGTGCATGTTCCTGAGGAGCAGTGGGACGATGAGACGGTCGCGGACCGTGATAGGAACCATCGTCTTCTCCCCGCATTGCGTGTGGTATGTTATGCCTAGAGATTCGAGTGTGCGCCTGCCCGTCTTGGACAATCGCTCGTATTCTGCGAAGTTGTGCGCCTCAATCACTTCGTCCAGTGTGTTGGGCAGGCCCAGCTTGAACATGTCGGTGCTCGTGTTGACAGGTATGCCAACCACCCTCTTGAAGGCTTTGCGAATCAAGCAATTCACCTTGTTTCATTCGGACGCCAGCCATTATAGATATGCGACTGATTGCGTACGCCTGTACGAGATGGATCGCACAGTTTTCCCGCATACCGCTGCGTCTGTTCGCTATGCGGCATAAAAGTCAAATCGCGTCATCTACGGAACGTTTAAGTCTTCGAACTGTCTCATCGTAGTGACCGTTGGCCTGCTGATTTAGTCCCAATATTCTTATGTTCTCTTCGCTCAGTATGGGAACGCCGTCCGCCGTTATTACTCTGATTTCTGATCTCCCTACACCGAAAAGGACGGTTTCGCGGCCCCTTCTCGTTTGTCTGTATAGCAATAGCTCGGGCTTAGCCACCTAACATTCGAGGTCCGTACCTCTAACGAATTTCTGCACTGCGTCCACGCCCATCTGCATATTTAGGCCAGAACACTACCTGTGAGAAAGTTCATGTTAATGCCCGTTGTATCGCGTACAAGCTTTTGTACTGAAGGCTTATTGACTCAAGACACACTACGCCACCGACCAGAGGTGCTTGGGAAGTTCTCTGCGCAGAACGGAAGATTCGGATGATCAGAAAGTTAAGAATAACCACAGACATGGCGCTGTGCAGACATGTGGTTTTTCAATGAGTTGTGGTTTGTTCACCACCCATGTGGGGTCAGATGTGGTTGATGGCGTCTGCATAAATGTGTGTGCTTTGATTTGGAGCTCCTGGCATGGTGAGAACGTGATTCGCCACAAGACACTACAATTGCCATACCCTCTGCTATACGATGCAATTACAGCGAGATTTTAGGAAATAGATAATGCCTCCTATGCATTGCTTAGCCAATATGGTTGTATGACTTGTGTTTTATTTATCAAGCATGCTGCAGGCTTGCAATTGCTTTCCACTTCAAATATTAGCATCGCAGCACAATACGGAATGGGACGAAGGCTTGTCCCCCGGGGTCATGGCTTACCTCGAGTCTTTCTATAGCAACGTGCTTAAGCAGGAAGTCAGCAAGGGCTTCGCCTGCTCGGTCTTTCATCAAACAATGCTCCAGTATGAGAATGTTAAGCGACGTGTTACGAGCCAGTTGGTCCAGAAATATAGCGGCGCTGTCTCCGTCAACCTGCGATAGAAAGAAGAATTTTCCGTGTTCAGAGGAACCCGCCAGAGTGGCACATTAAAACAATCATCTTTAGTTAACTTTACAGTACAAGTTATGAAATCAGAGCACGGGTCACGTGCGGCACCATAGATGCCCACCGCTCACGCCGGTGTCTATAAATAGTATCGCAATGAATGAAGAGCCGTGTGAATAAAAAACAGATTGGAAACAATGGGATTTGATGCCGGGTTCCCCGAGTGCCAGCCCAGTATTCAGCCACCGAGCCGTGCAGGTGCTTCGAACTCGTTTGCAAATATGTCTTAGACTTGATGTCTGAAAAGGAGCCACGGTAATACGAATAATAAAGCTTTTTATAATAGCAAAGGAAGAACTAGGCATCACACAATGCGAATTGCGTAACGCATGAGTCGTCCAGTGCTCCAACCCATTACAAAAGCTTGCTCCTGATCACCTCTAATGGTGGCACATACCCTCTTCTAACATAATTGTTCAGCGACGTTATCCACCGCATAAAAAAGCCCCACCCCCTCTCCCCTAAGAGAATCATGAGGAAATGCGAATGCCCTTCTTGCGCCGAATGAGAATATAGTCAACGTCAGACATTCGCCCTCACCGACTCCTGCCATCACCTTGAAAGGGGCCCAGACAGCGAGTGGTCGGGAGTGAATCGCGAGTGGACGAGAGAGCGGGGTGCGGAGAGGAGAGAGAGTGAATGGCGAGAGGAGTGGCGAAGCATTGCACCAACACTCTCCTACACTATCTCCACCCCATGCTCCGGTAGCTAGGAGTGAGGATAAGTGCACGCGCCCACAGCTGTTGATTGATTTGTGGGGTTTAACGTCCCCAAACCACCATACGATTATGAGAGACGCCGTAGTGGAGGGCTCCGGAAATTTCGACCACCTGGGGTTCTTCAACGTGCACCCAAATCTGAGCACACCCACAGCTGTTGCTAAGGAAGAGGGAGTGAGAATGGAATGATAACACCTGCTGGTCCGTAGACAACACTGCGGACAACGCCGGATGCCTGGCATAGCCGTACTAAGGAGTGTATTCGCCATTAAAGAATGGCACAAAATTTCTAGCACGCGGGTTACGGATACCAGGCTTCTCCGAAGAACGAAGAAGACTAGCATAGAAATGCCGACCTACTACACAAAAATTATTATGGTGTAGGGGGTTCCCAAGGGTGTGTTTGAAGCAGTTACCCAAAGAGTGTTGTGTTTAAAAAGGCTGTGAAAGGCCACTCTTCTAGCTTCCACTGTGACTATGCTGCACGTTCCGTGTAGGCTGGGCGGTTTCGGCGGTTTTTTTTTTTCGAACAATTCTGTTCGAATGCACCAATGCGTGGCCCTAGCAATAAATTTATGAATTGAACAGAAGCTCCTTTCAAAAGGCGGCACTGATGAGCTAGTTCAGTACACAACTCAGGCAGTACCGCGAATAAGCAGACCATAGACAAAAGACTAAGAAGAGGGCTCATTTTGCGCTAGTGGCTTAATTATTTGCTGCTGTTAACACACACAAATTTGAAATAGAGGGTGACTACTAAGTTTCTTTTTCAATTAGGTGGATTTCGATGTCAGTGGGTGGGTGCTATATTGTACAAACATTCAACCACAATGCATGGTACACCAGAAAGAAGCCGCTTCTGAACTCGTTACGCGGCGTAGGCACTACAACACGTTTGGGGCACATGATATTGTTGATTAAGTTAATGAACCTTTTAACAGTGAACATAGCCTATCAGTCAGTGGTATGCAAGAAACAAACATGGACATGCATTCATGTGAGCAGTAAGCCTTCATGTCGAAATGTATTGTTATGGAGATGAAATGAAGGAAAACAAAGAGCTGAAGAAGCTGATTGGTGCGTGAATGCATTAGTCAGCTATATAAACATTGCCTTTTTATTCAGCAAAATGCATGTTGCATATATGCCACCAACCGCGTAACATATTCGCTGGAGGTTCTGCATGCAATACAGCTCCGCAGCGGACATTCCATTACTTTTCTAGTCATGACATACTCAGCCGCCTGTCAGCTTTTTCCGCTCTTAGCCTTACTTCACTTCAGCCCCACACTATATGCTTCTAAACACAATTATTCACATAGTAAAGTCAACTCAATCAAAATTAAAAAGTGATTGAGGCCTCCACTGCGTGTTCTCTCGACAGGGGTTGGGTGAATTCAACAACTATGAGCAATTGTCCATTGCGCTTCTTCCATCGCGAACCTATGAGGATAATTTGTAGCTTGTATAAAAGCTCCAGCGCATAATCCAAAATCTCATCTTCCGAAAAATATTTGTACGCTGTTTTGATTCTCTAACAAATTTAGTTTAGTCTTGAAGCACATTTTTATCACTTTGGTTCGACTTCTGCGTGGAGCGATGAAGACCTGGAGAGGACGGGTCCCAGTTCGAAATAACAGTTGAGGGTGCCGACCTGTTTGAGCTATAGGGAGTTTTCTCGATAAAAATACATGTGGTAGTGCCGGGATCAAGGCTTTACCATTGAAATAAGTGAGTGGAGTAGCGAGCATTTACTGTACCAATTAGCCGATCCGTGTCCTCATGAACAAACACTGTATGCAGTTTTGCTATTTCGCGTTTCGTGTCATTCCTAACACTACTGCCTGAATTTTGAAATTCTGGCTTGTAAATAGTAATTTCTCATTAAAGCATTGTTGCTTTATGCTATCAGTCTGCAAAGTTCACGGGAAAAGTTCTGTTACCTCTAAAGTGCTAACCTAGCCGCGTATAGCCATCAGTGGACGACAACGCTTTGAGGTGGAGGGTGAAGTTGCAATTTTATACGTGCCCACATAACACGGCAATTATGAAAATTGGAAAAAGCTCTCCTATGCGATGCGTGATAGATGCCAGTCATCTTTTGTTTGTACTCGCGTCGTCCAGGGCTTTGCATTCCACGATAGGTGGAGGCCTTCGCAATTTACGTCATAGTAACCTTACGTCACGACCTAACGGTGACATCTGCTGTATAGTTCGGCAAACTTATTCCTGATCGGTCTCCCTCAGAAACAAATTGGAAGAAGGCGAGTTTGGTTGAGGATTATTTTCGCGAGCAAGTCTGAGTGAGCGCGATAGAACTTTATTTTTGTATGGTGCTTGACCTAAGAGTTTCGTCATTTGCTTGCTAGGTCTATGAAAGTTTCTGTATACAAATCTCTGCTCAAACAAACTATCAGTTTTGTTTAAGTGCTTTTTCTGCCTTCTTCCTACCTTTGTGTGCTGTAGCTTTTCATAAGGTGGTTGAAAATTCCGGAGAGTGAGCGTCTTAGGCATTAAACACACAACATAGTAGGAGAAGATTATCTCCCCTTCTCTCTTTACTACCACTCCTTACAGCATGGTATCATACGAGTTCTTGATTGGTTAACATCTATGCCTTGCCTTTGTCACCTTTCTTTGAGTAAGATATCTCTGACCTAAGAGCCCATATGTTCATCAACAATACTATCAGGCTATGACTTCTGACTGCTATACCCACGTTTACTTACACATTTCACCGCACTAGCGTTCATCTGTATATTTATTCTGCAGACGTATGAGCTATAGGAACGGAAATTCCCGTCTTCGCTTTCCCTCGTGATCTCATTTTCGGGCAGTCATATTGTACCAATTGCACCGGTGCACATCAGTGCCAGCTCTGTGCCAGTGAGAGAACAGACGACGACGTTCGTGTGTCGCGCTCTAGGTCTCCTGTTTTTTGTGCAGCAGCTGTCTTGCTTGCCCTTGTAAGTTTCTCGCTGAAAATGCTCCGATGAACACGCTTGTTACATTTGGTGGAGCGCTGCTGGATCGTTGTCCTTTTCGTCCTGGAGCTTCGCAACCGGACTTTACCATCTGCCTCCAAAGTGACCGAGGACGCTGCTCCTTCCCAAGCACCACTTACGGTCATGTGTGCTGGGACGCGTCGTCAACATGACCCTCCGATGTTCAGCGGCACCGACTAACTTGACGTCGAAGACTGGCTGGTAGAGTTTGGGCTTGTTTGCGGTCCCAACAGATGGGAGGACCCTGCTAAGTTGACGCGTCAGCTTTTATCTGACTGATGTGGCGAAGCTATGAAGCCGAGACAACAGGCCCATCTGCTACGGCTGTGGCATTTTTGGCCATGTTGCGCGCCACTGTCGTCGTCAGCGCAGTCTTTATGCCAGCTATTACATCTCCAGCCTTGACTACATGCCACAGCAGCCAGGACACCCTGCTTCCACCGACTCATCGGACGCCTATTCGCGCCGTGCCAGTTCCCCCTCACGTCGATCTCCTCCTCCCCGGCGCCGCCCCATTTGTCCTATGCTCCGCCGTACCAACCCCACGAAAGAGGAAAACTAAGAGCCGCAATTCCTGAAGCATGAACTGCGCCCTCTCTAAAAATTCGAGGCCTCATCTTTCGCCTCCGCACGAGATCGCGGTTATTAATGGTGCCGCGATGAACGCTCTTGTCGACACAGGAGGTGCTGCTTCTGTTTTAAGTGAACTTTTGTGCCACAAACTGCAGAAAGTGACGATACCCGTTTCTGATCTTTTATTACAGACGGCGTGCTCGCAGCACGTAAATTCTGTGATGGCGTGCACGGCACGTCTTTTTATCAATGGCGCATTTTACGCTGTGGAATTCGTTGTCCTACCACATGCGTCACATGACGTGGTCCTCGGTTGGGACTTCCTTTCTACACATGATGCAGTCGTTGACAGCACTGAAGCTCGACTCACTTTGTCCCCTTTCAGACCCAAAGTCAGCGACGTCCCAGCCCGGTGGCTAAATTGGTTGTCGCTGCAGCCGCTATCAGTTCTCTTCTCTGCCACCATGGTGTTCGTTTCCTCTGACTGGCTTCACCGCCCTGTTTACATCGTCTGAAGACTGGACGCCGACGGAACCTCAGACTCCCATTTGCCGTAGTTACCTTTGTAAATGGTGCCGGTGTTATCTACGCGTGCAATCCCTTTCCTTGCTCGGCAACTCTCTTACGTAG